CACAGGAAGCACCGTTTGTTCTCTGGTCGACGCTATCGGAGGGAGAACTCCATCCTCTTATTCCCTTACTGGAACCGTCTCCCTGACTGTTGGGGTTATCTGGCTGGTTCGCATCCGTAGCCATGTTCCTAATGTTTCGTCTTGGTCGTCTTTCTTTGTTCACAGTGGTAACTCTACCACTTCTCAGTAACATAAAATGTACTTCTCACGAAAGGACCAACACGACTGCAAATTTTTTTTTGTAAATTTAGTTTTACACAAAAGCTTTTTAGCACTGTCCCACTGGGCGTGCCATTTTGTTTCCCTTGAAAATCGGAAAACAACCGTTGATCTTCCAAATCTAACTTTGGTGACTCACAGGATCGATCAGATTGATCTTAGGACATGTGCTAAAGGTTCTTTATTTTGGAAATCTATCTAAGTTTCACACTTAGGCAGTATTGGGGTAAAAGAATCTAAAGAAACATCTTGTTCGACTACGGGATAAATTAAAAGATAAAATAAAGCTTTTAATGAAAGAAAGAAAGAAGTTTGTTTGGAGAAGGAAGATTAGATTAAGGACGAAGAGAAAGGAATTGCATAGAAAGAGAAGAAAGAAAGTAAGGAAGAAGGGTGCAAAGAAAATAAAAGACTTTGTAAAGTTTAAAGCAAGTAAAGTAAATTTTATTAAGATAAAAGATGGTGTGTTTACATCACGTACATTATCTGTAATACTCGCTTTCTCTACGCTCGGATACTTGGAGTAGTTCTAAGAGTAATTTGTACAATGGTAAATTACAACACCCTTTGTTCATGCCTAAGACATCCTATTTATAATAGTAAAAAATAACTTCTAATAACCTCCAACATCACCACCTCTCACCACTTGTCATAATGCATGGATCTACTGCTCATAAGGTGTCATTGTCCTCTTAAGCATTTGGCAAACGAAACTGTTCCCTCCAAAACTTTTAAATTTCAAACCTTCAACAAACCACCAAACAGCAGAAACGGTCGAAGTCCTTGTTTCTCTTTAATCTTGGTGAGTTCTTCGACTCCTTCCTTTAGCTGCCTCGTGCCTTTCGACCAACTTTTTGCTTTCAACTTGTTTTTGGCATTTCTTCTTAAACTCTTTTATTTTGCAAGAGGCGTCGAATTTAGGAGCTAACAACCCCATAATTAATTATATATGTAAGAAGCTTGGTGAATTTGATTTATATGCTCATGTTTGAGGGGAAGTGTTGATATTTGTAAATACAAGTTTTAAGAATATTTGTATATAAAATAGTTCTACATTAACTATTCATATAATTAGTCATAATCTCTATGTATATATAATATAGTCTTAGTAGTACTTTTCAAAACACAATTTAGTTAAATGTCTCTTAACTTTTTATATTTCAAAAATATAATTTTAGTTATAAAATGTAATAATGAACTATTTTATTAACTCAAGATCACCTTTTTTTAATACAAAGTTAAATGATTGAATATTAAAGTAATATTTTTTTAGATTCGGTGTTTAGTCTAATTTTTTATTATCTTTGGTCTATTTTTGATTATCTTAGTTTAGACTACACATTGTACCTTTTTATTATGAATATTTTTTTTATTTTAAATGGAAAATAAATAATATTTAAGTAAAATATGTAAACAACCTAAAAGAACCAACAAAAAGGAAACACCTAAAACAAAGACCTACAAACCCAGACAACCTAACATAAACCATCTATAAGAGAAATAAAAAATGAAGATCTTCCAAATTGATAAAACCATTCCCAAGCGTACAAGAACACAATGTCAAAACACTATTGACTCAAACATATCTCATCGTATATATGCGTCTCTTTTTATAAGATGTAATGTATATATAAATTATTCAATTAACTCACACTAAATTTTTTAATCTTAAACCAGTATTTTATCGGTTCAGTTTCTGTCCTTTATATGAATATTTATTTTACTGTTTAAAAAAAAGTAAAGTCAAGAGCAATGTCAATAGCAAGGTCTAATGCTTTAGCAGAAATACAAGTCATAATGTTCAGTTGCGCTATTTGCAGTGTCTTCACTTTGAAAATGAATTCCGGATACAGACATTGAAGTCCTTATCCAAACTCTCCATTTGCCACAAAAACCCACACCATCCTAACATGAAGTCCCCAAAAACCTAATCTGCTGAGTCATATGACTTTTCAAAGTCTATTTTGAAGATCAAACACATCTCCAGTGATTTGTCAAAATCCACTATCCCATTGATAACTAGGACTCCATCCATCCACTGTCTCCCTTCAAGAAAACCTGATTGGGTCTTAGCGATAACTGAAGGAATCACATTAGCCACTCTAGCTGCCAACCATTTATACAAAGAGCCAAGTAGAGAAATCAGCCTGCAACCCCGCAAAAATTGAGGCGACTTCACTTTCGGTATCAACACCAAGAAATACGACATAATACTCTTAAGAATGGACTCATTACCATGGAACTAATCAAACACAATATTAGCTTCATCAGGCTAATGAATTTTTTCTTACCTTGTCGCCATCAAACCCTAATTTGGACATCAAAATATTCCTCCAGTGATTTTTCTTACCTTGCAGATCGCATTTTGCATAAGCATTAACCACAAAATATGAACGCTACTCCCGAACCCGACTCAAACATAGTCCAATGAATGAATAAATAAGTGTTGCCATTTATGCATTTCAAATAGAGAGAGTACCAGCAATATTACCCCCTAAAGTAAGGAATGCCCAACTAACCTTTAAACTCCCCAAATGTTGTGACAAAACAACTTTGAAATAACCTTCATCTTGTTCACTTGCACTGACTAGAAATCAAGTCTTTCTTTAACCACTAAATTAGTAACCTTCATCCTCATCATTTTATTCCTAACCCTATAACATTAAAAGAACCTACTATCATGGATAACCTATTTTCAACTCCTTGCCCTCCTTCAACCTTTGATCTCTATATTACAAGGCCATCAATGGAGTACCCTTAGTTCATCTTCGGATAAATGAAAGATGTCAAGGCCCTTCTATCAAGAATTGTATAAACTTGTAACCTATATTGGGCTTGCGGGCCTTTAACAACGGTAATAGTTTCCAAAACTATTGATTCGTCATTAGGCATCAAGAATTCCACCCCGACTGATGTTCCAGCGAAATGTTTTTATCTGCCAAAGATCCTTACTACATCACCTATAAGTCCTCCATAGCCTCTACCTTAGAAACAGAGTAACACCACTTATGAATTGATCTTTTCCGAAGAAACCACAAAAATTATCGTAACATTAAGAATTATCAGAACTAAATTTTATAGAATTTAAAATCAGATGCTCGTACACCTCTACCCTTCTACAAGCCACGACGTACCCTATTTCTCCTATTGATATTGCATCCATCTCATATTCTTAAAGCCACCAAATTCATGACTTTTAGCACCTAACTCCAATGTGTGGCCCATTTCAATAGCACCCGAAACACCCTCTTTGACATACTCCAATGTAATGTCTGTCGAGCCTTCCATTACAAGAACAATCATCATAACTTCTTTTGTGTGGGCTTGCATGTCATCTAATTGTGTTAGATGGTTGACCATCACAAAATCTCTATCTCCTTGAGATTGACACTTATCTCAGGCCCAACAACCTAACCCATAAACCCATTTACTCCAACATTAACTTAATTAGGAGAATGAACTTGTATCCATGAGGTCCCTCTCTGCTTCCCCATCACCCATCCACCCACCCAGCCTACCGATAAACTTAGACTTGCTTCTGCTCACCTACCTGTACTAGGTCCATCAACTCTGCACTATCATCCATTTAACCTCCACATTTAGAAGCTCCCTCCTCTAAGATAGGCACACATCCCAATTCCTCATTTAAGCCCGTCCCTTTCTTTTCCTTTTAAAACTTGAACACAATTCACATCTAGTGAGTTTACTAAAAAGCATATAGGTCCATCATCTGACGACCGACAACTCCAAAATGTGTGCAACATTCCCTTTATTTTCTGAAAGTCTTACCCTATCTTGCAGCCCTATTATGAAAACTTATAAATCTCTTCTTAAAACAAACTCATTGGTATCTTTAACAGAGCTTCCTTTTTACACAGACCACCTTAGATGCTTCGTCAGAGGAACCATATGAATACATTGATCTCTTATTAGGGGATATAGAAAAACAACACTTTCCAAAAAAAAAGCAAGGTTTTCTTCTAAGATGTTAATATTGAAGACTACAAACTACCATTATGTATATTGCTCAAATTGACGGTTCTTTATGTTTAAATAATGGCCGATTCACCGCGACAATTTTCACTATTTAAAAAAAAAAATTAATAAATAGACAACAAACATGATTTTGATAACTAACCCAAACTTATAGTTATCAACAACTTTTAAATAGTACCCCTACCACAATTATCACACACATGTATTTATATCATAATTAATCATACAAATTTATCATCTTTCTTTTATGCCGACAATTTAAAAGTTTCAGCAGTAAGGATAAAGAAAATCTTATAACAACTAATGATTAGCAGAATGTACATTTTCAAGTTTGGTCCTTATCAAAACCATTATCGTGATTCATAGAATTACAGGTCTTAACAATTACAACACAAATCGAATTTCAAAAAGATTTTGGTACTACTGTTCATTATTGCAATTTCAGAGATAAAATTATTGAGTTATGATAACATTGCTTTGATGTTTTGTTTCTCCAACATAAAACATACTTTAAAGTAGAATAAAAAGATCACTGCAAACACTAATTGAATTCTTAGTTAATTCAAGCATAACTACTACTGATCAATTTGTGTCTCGAGTTTTGCACAACAAAACTGAAGCAAAACATAAACTAGTTTAAATCAGTATTCATGGGAATAATGACAGACCACATTACCATCAGAGTGACAAATAAAATAAAATAACAATTTTAAAAACTAATCTTTAAGTTGGCCAAAGACAACATACATAACATAAATACTTGTTGTACTAACAAACCTAACTAACTATGTTGGAGTACTTGGCAATGAAATTAGACTGTTGGTGTGAAGTATTACATGATCACCAAAGATAATGTCTTCATTCTTAATGCCCTCAATCTTTGTTAGTTTTCTAGTCTGGACACTGTAACTAAAATTCATGTTGCTTAAGATAGCTTGAGGCCTCTTTTCTTTAAAGAAGATTTCAAAGATGATTTGATCATGAATCCAGCAATCAAATGAAATTTCAAAAGTAGTAAGTTCATGACCATAGGCAGCCACATAATCCAAATGTCCCACATCATGATAATGAAACCATTTTCCAGAATCAAAATCCAAAAGATAGATTTGAAATGTATCATGAATAACCCCTTTAATCACAATGCAAGAAAGTTGATTTCCCATCCATAAGAATCTCGGGAAGAACATCCGAACATCCTCGACAGCATAATATATGGGCACAGGGGGGTGAAAATTTCCCAACAACAATTTCCTTGTCAACATCCACCAAAGTTATTCCATGCTCTTGAGTCATCCAGTAAAGATGATTACCTCCATCATAAAGTGTTTTCTCCCAAAATCGAAGCCAGGAAAGGGAAGCTTTTTTCCTATCTATCTCTCTCCACGAGTTATCTATTCCAATTGTTAGGACATAGAAAACATAATAAAAAGCTCCTGAAACCTCTAGGACATCTATGAAGAAGATCTTGAATTTGGCTGTATGAGGGAACACACACTAAAGTCAATTGACGAGAAAAGCTACTGCTTGAGCAAGACTCTTGCTCTGCTGAAGAAGAACCAATATGCCATTACAAGTATCAATAACTCTTCCCGACTTTGTTCCCATATCACTCTTTTCAAATTCAAACTGACCATTCACAAAGTCTTTAATATCCAAGAAATAAGCATGATAAAAACTTTGAACGAGAAAAGACCGAGTTTAGAATGTCTTAGGTATGCTTGAGCAAATTGGGAGGTTTGAATAATAGTGGCCCAAGGTTTACAAACATACCTTGCAGAGTTAACAAGACATTTGAGAGGAAGCAAAGTAAGAATATGAAGCATCAAGTCTTGAGAAAGCAACACCTCTGAAATCACTTTACATCTCTCACTACTATTTGAGTTAGAGTTTGAATCATCGTTGCTGCACTTGTTTAATGATTTAAGTCTCTGGCTTCTAGTAACTACTCTTCCCATTATTATTAGGGATCCTCCTGCATGAATAATATTATATCAAAATGTCAGTAGATTTGAAAATCTGAACTGCAAAAATGCTCCCTCTTTCCCTTGGTCGTTTTCCTCCTAATCTGTAAAATTGAAAAAATAAAGACAAAACAATGCAAACATGGAGGATTTGAAGTGATGTTTTAGTAGATCATTACCAGGTGATTTTGTTGAGATCTATTTGCTTGAGATTGATATGCACATGAACAGAAATCGAATCAAGAGTAACCAGATTGCAACAATAATTTACAGTTACCTTCGTTGATTTAGGAAGAGAAGAATGAAAGAATTTGAAGTTACCTTCGTTTGATTTGGAGAATTTTCTGTGGAAAGGGATATCTTCTGATGCCCTAGCCGCCGTCATGACCGCACTTTCGAATATGTTCTTGTTGCTGTTTACTACCAATTTATAGCCACTTGTGGGTTTTCAAACGGAGGCAATTCCTTGAATTTTCTAATAGAAGGGTTCCACAATAAAACAAAAGAGTTACGAATATAAAGACAAAGGATTCCATCACAAGAGCCACCAATGTAATGCAAGTTGTGCCCATAAGGACTGTTAAATGGAAACCCTAGTCGAGTGACTATGCATGTGGATAGCTACACAAGTTTGGATGCTGAATAATGCATGTTTGGTTTGATGATGCAATAGATATTCACAGCGAGAATTGAGAAGCACGGAATGTATGCTACATGTGAGTTTTTTATGGAGATAGTCCGAGAATAATTTTCTTTGTAATATTAACATGTCACATTATTCTTGATTGTTATATTTGGAGCACCAAATTTTAGACACTATACCTATACATCTAAAGTTATTGAGACACTTATCAAACTCTTTAATAAAATTGTAAGGTCAAAGTAAATGTTAGATGAATGAAGAATAAACACTCTATTTTCAATCTATAAGAACCAATAAAATATATAAAATTATGCAAATTATAAGTGGAAAGAGTGATTGAACAAAGATTAAGAAAAGAGACTCAAGTCATTAAGAATCAATTTGGCTTTATATCTGGAAAGGTTGATCATGGAAGCGATCTATCTACATGTGATGGAGCGATATCAGATGGACCAACAAGACTTGCACTTAATTTTTATTGACTTGTAGAAGACGTATGGTAGAGTGAGTGCCTAAAGAAATTTTGTGGAAAACCCTAGAGAAGACAAGGGTTAGGATTGCATATATTTGAGCTATCTAACATATGTATGAAAGGGCATCAACTAGTATACGGACACATGATTGAGAGATAGACAATTTTTCCATTGCAATATGTTTGCATCAAAGTTCAACCCTAAGTCCATATCTTTTTACCTTAATTTTGGATATACTCACAGAATACATCAAAGAGCTAGCACCAAGATACATGTTTTTTACTGATGATATAATCATACTTGGAGAGTCATAGAAGGATTTAAATGATAGGTTGGAGACGAGTTTTAGAAGCATGTGATTTTCGCCTAAGTAGAAGTAAGACGGAGTATATAGAATGTAAGTTCAACAAAAGAAGAAAAGTTTTTAACCTAGGGTGAAAGTTGGAGACCATAGCATCCCTTAAGTCACACAGTTTAAATATCCACTACTAGAAAAAGTGTTTTTAACGTCGGACGCGAAATGCATTTCACCTCGACTGTAGTAGCGAGGTAATAAACGTCGTCATGAAAAATAAAGGCTTATAACCTCGGTTATTTAAAATCTGAGGGGTAAATTAATTTGCACATGAGTTCGAACCCCAACATCTACATTTCTTTTATTTACAAAACTAGTATCTCATACATCTCGGTTTACAAATAGATCGAATGCTTAGATAGATTGTTTTCTTAATAGAATTTGTTATATTGTTTACACAGAAAATAAATAAAAATAATTTGTTTACAAACATAAATGTTTACCCAGAATATTACATTGTTTACACAGAATATTAAAATAAAAATTAATTTATTCCTGAAAATCGTATGTCAAATGCTTCACCTTGTAAGAATTTGTTTATGATATAAAATAATAAAACGGTTAGAAAAAAGATATAAAAATAAATGATTTTTTGCTCAAATGAATATTTAAAAACATAAACCTTAAACCCTGATAATTTTCTACACTTGCAATCTATCGCTAATGGCAAAAGATAATGTGGCGGATATAGATAGTTTCAATCTCTTCAAGAAGTTTTTTTTATCAATTTTAGATATCATAAAGCTTTTATAATGGAAATTTTTTAAGTATCACGCAAATCACTAATGGTAGTTTCTTGAGCGTTGATAATCATGAAATGAACGACAAAATTTTGTTTAAGAATGCTAAGTTATCCCTCGGTTTGTATCAAAACCGAGGTGAACATGTTTTTTTAATTACATTGTTTACACGGAAAATTGAAAGAAAAAAAAAACAATACAGCAAAACCAAAATTTTGGTGTAAGGAGTTATCTTATCCAAATATTCCACGCATCTAATTTCTAGGAGTTATTTGTTCATAACGTTGAATGCATCCAACTTCTAAAGGAATGATTTGATCCAACATTAAAAATATATTTTTCTACAATTGCAATCCATCATATAGAATCTTTACAAGCTTTTAACAAAAACAACAACATCAACACCATTTTATGAGATGGATCCCAAAGCAATGATGTGATTTCTACTTCTAACGAGTTTGGAGCGGCTACATATAAGTTAGGATTATGATAAAATCTGTCTAACAAGTGCTTTTATAGTAAAATGTTATGTAACTTATACATCGGTTATTAAGGAAACCGACGGGATATATCATTTAGTTTACAAAAAAAATTATAATAAAGAAAAAAGTTTTTTAAATTGTTTTTCCCCTCAGAGTTTTGGAAAATCGAGGTAATATGTGATTTCTACGTCTAAACAAAATAAATCATGGTGCGCATTGGAATCATATCCACTAGAATAACAATGATCATCCATACTCAAATATGTAATGTATCTTTTGAATTTTCAAGGCGTTTGAGATTCTCTAATTGTTTCACTTCCTATTCTTCACTTTATTTAAACATTATTCTTTGTTTCAACGTCTCATTTCCAACTCTTTATGTCTTCAAACCTAATTTCAAAGTCTTTTCTTTTCTTCAAAATTGTCTTCAACAATCTTAGATGAAAAATTGTAAAGTGTATAAATGAATTTTCATTAACTCGCGGCACACTTGAAAAATATACTTAATTTATGAACATCGCTTCCAAACATTATTTAGCAACCATAATGTGTACCTAACTACATAGTAACAACCCATACATAATGTTTGATATCAGCCAAGTCTATTACAAACACAATTTGCCATAGGATGACAATCAAGAGTTTTGTCATCTTCTGATTCTCCGTTTGATCTTATCCACTTACACATCATTTGATTACATATAAGATGTCTTAAGACTCTGAATTTTGCTATGTCCTTAATTTCTAGTCCAACTGCGACTTTGACTTTGGTGATTTCCCTTGTCTGCCAACCACGTCTGTCGAAGTCCTCGTGATCATTTATTCTTCATTTTGACTTGACTAAAGTTATTATCACATGACTTCTGTCATACTTATTCTTGTGTCAAAATTTTGAGATAACAGCCATGCACAAAATTTGTAGCTTCTTATCTGAAAACTTTCAACCAAAATCAATTCTAACAAACTCTTACAATTATCACAATCCTCACACAATCACTCAATTCTCTTTCAATCCTAACAACCTCACACACTTTGCTCACACACTCGCCAATTCCTAACCCTAATCCTTATAAGAACAAGATTTGGTTGTGCATCTGACCTAATATTTTGATGATAACAATGCATTGATTCATAGAGAACAATTGTGTACCCTAATAGTTTTATTAAGTGCGCAGACACTAGATATAAGTTTTGACTCTAAAAAAGTGACATGTGATATCATTAAGTTTTGAATCTAATGCACCTTGACTCTGAGAAATGTGTTTTACAAGATGATTAAGCTCTAGACTACTCTACTCAACACTTATGAACTTTACTTATCCAAAACTTTATGACTCTGATAAGCCTCTGACATTGTCAAGCTCTAAAGTCTTGCGCTCAACAACTCTGATGAACTGTGTCATCAAACTCTGAAGATCAGGTTCTAATGAATTGGATCAAGATTTGAAGATCAAGTTTTTGAAGACTCTCTGATACAGACTCTGAACCTTTTTCTGTGCACGCTTCATC